CATGTGTCACAAAACTCTTGACACATGCATGTGTCAAGAGTGGTGATACATAATTGTGTTTAGACCATGAAAATATAAAGCGTACAACCAATTAATACTATAACTTCCGAGAGGGTTTTCCTACACATGTACAATCTGTCGCAAAACTCACAGCACATATATATGTCGAAAGTGGTGACGCATACATGTGTCACAAAACTCTTAACACATGCATGTGTCAAAAGTGGTGATACATAATTATGTTTAGACCATAAAAATATAAAGAGTACGACCAATGAATACTATAACTTTCTAGAGGGTCACCCATCCTAGGATTATTCTCATCAAAGCACATTTAACAAAAAAGTTTTTTAACTTATATATTATCATAAGTATTTAGTCATCATCATATTTAATGTTTAAGATTTATTATTTAAGAAAATCAGTATATCCTCTCACAATCCATGTTCACATATTAGTCTTTTTTCACTTATATTTAATTGTATATCTAATGACACAAATATGTGTCGTGATTTGTCACACATTTTATTGGTGTCTCTATTGTTTAATTCTTTATAAATAAAATGATATTTTTATATGTGTCATAAAATAAGTGTGGACATATACAATGTTTGTTGTAGTGAATCTTCTCCAATACATAACAACGACGCGGTTAATGCTTCTTAACCGCTTCTTAACTAGGGAGCGTTTGACAACTATAGTGTTCCAATCATCATAAAAATTTCTATGAGTACATTTAATTTAAGCAAATTCGAACTACACTACAATTATATACTAATTCGGTACTACCACTAACAAATATGTGGTAGTACCAAAGTAGTTTGAGAGTTGTAGTACCTCCCGCCCTTATATATAAAGAGAAATTAGTGGAACTCTTAAATGGTAAAAAATTAACATGCGTTAGTAGTCATTAAGGCACAAAAACTAACATGTGACATAAAAAATTGACATGTGTCGGTAGTCATTAAGGCAAAAAAAACAAACATGTGTCAGCACTCATGTGTCTCTCTATTTTATCAGAAAATGTCACGTGGACACCTAATCATATATTAACCTAAAAATCCTCATCAAATTAAAAGTATCCTTAATTAGAAATTTGTAATAATTAAATATTTTGCAATCCTTATTAAACTATAACCATCCATTATTAAAAAAATTCTCATAATTATATATTAAAATATAGAAATCAGAGGAAAATAAACTCATGTAGAAATCCTCTCTACATAAAATCACAGGTTAATTTTAAATAACCCATTTAACTTTGGGGGTGTCTTAGATAATCCCCTCAACTATTTTAATTTGAGAAAATTCCCTCAAGTTTGAGTATATTATAAATAACCCCCTTAACCAAGAAAATTTTAGATAGCACTCCGAACTTTTTTTTAATTATAGATGACATCCGTCAAGTCTAGAAATTCAAGAAACCACCCATAAAATATTCTCACTTCATACCTTAAAAGCTACCGTTGTTAGGTAGCTAGCATGTCTCATGACATGTAGGTGACCGAGCAAAGACTAAAATACTCATCAATCATAAAAAATTTACTCTAATATCTTTAGGATAAGAGAAAGTGGAGGAAAGCATTATAAATTGATGAAAATCTTTCTTTTTTCACTGGTTAGTGGTTTCTTCATAATTGAATAGGTTGCAAAATGGTGTTTTGATTATTTTACATTTTGAAATAACGTCGAGGGGTTTGGTAAGTAAAATGTAAAAGACTATGGATGTTTTGTGAGACACCCCGTAGTTGGATGTGATTTTCTCTAATTTTTAAAGTCAAGTAGGGTTATCTATAATATGCCCAAACTTGAGGGGATTTTCTCAAATTAAAATATTTGAGGGTGGTTTTTTGAGACATCCATCATAGTTGAGGGAGGTTTCTAAAATTAACTCTAAAATCATATGTGTAAAATTATACACGTGCCAAATTAAATTTAAAATTGATGGATTAATCTTCCTCTTAAAATATTATTGATGAATTGGTCAAATTTTTCCTTATCTATCAATTTAATATCCTGTTGTTGATGTCTGATATCACACAGTCAGTTGAAGTCGCAGAGTTGCTGGATCGTCGAGAGGTTGAACTATCGAGGGGGGGGGGCACTTTCCTTCTTCGACTTTATGCCTGGTTCTCAGAGCTCAAGGTGGACGGATCACCTGCACACATAAGAATCGTGAGAGTACGAGGCATGTTTTCCCTGTGGTACCTCCGACGGTCAAATCAGTTGGTGGACTTGGGTGAGGTGAAGGAAGAACGGTGTGTTCTTCTAATATGTGTCTAGAGAGTTTTCAGGTAGTAAGGAAATCCAACCTCTTTTCATAACGAATAGCGTATGTATTTATAGAGGAAGCCAAGGGCAGAATAGGCATTTAGTGAGAATGCGGTTTATGATGATGGCGAGGGGCGAGCCGAAGGCTGAGTCACCCTCTGCCCGATACGTATCGATTGGTGAGTGATGGGAGGTCACTTCAATGACATGGGGAATCAGCAGCCGTTAAGGCTTATCAGCGAGTGACGTGGAGTCACTTCTGTAGTATGGGGATCCTGCAACCGTCGAGGCTTGTCGGCGAGTGACATGGAGTCACTTCTGTGGTATGAGGATCCTGCAGCCATCGAGGCTTGTCGGAGAGTGACGTGGAGTCACTTCTGTGGTGTGGGGATCCTGCAGCCGTCGAGGCTTGTCGGCGAGTGACGTGGAGTCGTAATGATGATCATAAATGGTAAAATAATGCTAAGAAATAATGTTCTGAGTTGCCCTCGGAGGAAGTGTCGGCTGATCGCTGAGTAGCAATCTTTTGCTCGACTAAGTCCGCCTTTGGGAATGAAGCCGGCTCGACTGAGTCTGTTCTCGGGATAGCATATTTGTAAGAAATAGGGGACACCCTATAACACTTGTCTTTGCTTATTTTAATAAAGAGGGATTATTGGTTCACCAATGCCTCTCTTTAAAATATATTAATAAAACACAAGAGACATAAAAAACATATATCATGTAAAGATCTATAAAATTAAAAAAATACTATTACAAAAATATTCTCTCTGTCTGCAAAAAATTTAAAAAAACCATTTACAAAATTTACCCAAAATATTATCTCAAATTTTCTCGACTTTATCCGAAATTCTAATTGGTACTTAAGATTTTCCAGGAATAAATATTTGGATTCTTAAGATTATTTTATGGATATTTAAAAACCACATTTACTTTTCTAATATCATTTTTTATTTTTAAATATTATAAAAAAGGATGGACATTACAAAGGAGAGTTTGATAATTAAACTATCTAATTCTGAACTCGAATTTTTAAAATAAAAACTATCCACTTGAGTTGCTCACTCTGCAAGCAAGCTTTTTCTTTTTATCTTTTTATCTTTTTATCTTAGACTATTATAAATAAAGAGGGATATTTTAAAGGAGAATGTAGTGGTTAAACTATCTAATTTTGAATTTTAGATTTTAAAATAAAAGCCATCTACTCCTTATTTGAATTTCTTTTAAATTTCAAACTATTTGAAGAAAAAGCTCCAACACAGGTTATCTAATTTTCAATAATACATACGCTATACGTCGTTGATATAAGCCATTTTGTATGCTCATATCCATAAAAATAGAGTATGTATGAAAACTCAAAAGAAGCAACAACATTTTAAAAAGAGTATGTTCAATTCAATTTAGAAGCGCATGCATACAACTAAAGAAGAAACCCATAGAGACCTAACAATTCAGATATAATAAAAAAAAAAGAAAATGAGGCCCCTAACATTCTAAGCTAATGATGCGGGTTCAGTTCCGGCTACCCACTCTATATTACCTATTCTCCTATATGCAAGACTCACTCCCGCGAGCCCAATCAAAATACTTGTTACTCTTTAGTTTAAAGAAGAGGGGGTAGAAAAGACAGGCCTTGGAATTTTGGTACTAGAGCCAACACGTAAATATTTTGACAGCTTTCTTGGCCTTGTACTTCCTCTTTCTTATTAGTTGGTGGGTTTTTCACTTCTCATGCATGTTGCCATGAAAACTAGCTGGACTTAGTAAACTCCGTTTGCCGTTGCTCCTACAGTCAATACAAGCGGTTGATAAAGTTGACATCACTGGTTTTCTTGTGTAGGGTTTGCAGAAAGTTTCTTGCCAACCAATTCTACAAAACTTTTGATAGTATTTAGTTAATGAAATAATTAAGCCGAATTTTCGATTAAACGTTCAATTAACTAAAATCAACTACATTTGAGCCAAAAAGTAAAAAAAAAACTACAATCCGAAGTTCTTTTCATTATTAAATGCAAGAAATTATACATTATAGGTAACTTGAATTCAAATTCAAAATTTAAAGGTTTGCTCCTCAATTTTCTAACAGTCTCAGCCTTACCCTTTTGCGAACAAACGGTCCATAAATCCATACCAATATAACCATCTGCACTTTTATGCAAATTTCCCACCGGCCCCCTAAAGCAACGGCTAACTTTTCAATGGCACTTTAGACCTTCTAGGCCTCAATCAGGTGAACTTCATAGATCCCCCAGCCTTTGGGGAATTTGCACAAAATGTCCTGAATTTTAGACGTTGGACAAAAACCGTCCTAAATATTGACGAGCTTCGCAAAACCTGATAATCTATCGAAAGTTTCCGTACGTTGACCTCTGGAAAAGTTTCGATTTTTTCATGCCTCCAAAAAGAGAGTCAGGGAGGAAATGAGGGGGGGAAAAGTCGGGGGGGTCTTCCTTTATGATTTTACATTTTTTTACCGAATAGTTTCAGCTTGTTAAACTTTTTGAAAGACCAGACAGGTTTTGTGGACCTCCCTAAAGTGTAAGGGGTTTTCTGACTTTCTCTAATTCTCAAAGCCCAGGAGTAATTAATGCTAATCAGCGCAACGTTCAGGGGGGATTCTGTAAAACTCACTCCCCCTATAAAACCCCCCTCGCTCGTCCACAGTCTGCACGAATCAGCAAAACAGAACAAGAGAGAGAAAATCCTCTCTCTCTCTCCAATGGCGCGCCTCTTCAGAGCTCAAGAAACCCTAGGCGTCCCCGACCGCCAGAAATCAACATCCACGCAAATCTCCTCCGTCGATCTCCCCTCCCCCTTCGGCGACCTCGCCGTCGCCATCTCCGACGACGAGCTCCGAGAAGCCGCCTACGAGATCCTCTCCAGCGCTTGCCGAACCTCTGGCAGAAGCCCCAACTCTTCGGAACCCCCGATGTCGAGTCCTTCGTCTTCGTTCTCGTCGCCGCCGAGTTTTCAGCGGTCGCTGACGTCGACGGCGGCCAGTAAGGTGAAGAAGGCTTTTGGGATCAAGTCGTCGTCGTCGTCGTCAAAGAAGAAGAGTCCTTCGATGGAGAGTCCACTGAAGGTGATAGGTTTGATGAAAAGGAAGAAGGTGACGGTCGGGGAGCTGGTCAGGGTTCAGATGGGAGTATCGGAGCAGTCGGATTCCAGGATTCGGAGAGGGTTAGTTCGGGTTGCTGCGAGTCAGGTGAGCAAGCTGAGGCTTTTAGGGTTTTTTTTTTATATAATTCAATATTTAGTGTATGTTCTTATAGGTCTTAATTTTATTCTAGACTTAATTGCATATATATATCCGTGTGTTATAGGGATAGCTACTTATATTCATAATAATAAAAACATATATATCAATTGAGAGAGATAGAAAGAAACGAATAGCGAATAGCGAGTGGGTCTTCTTGATTTACGCTAATTTCTCTCCTCATCGTGGTGGGCACCAGTTAGAAAAACCTAAAAAATATTAAGTTTTTTTAGGGAAAAATGGAATTATCTCCTGTTATAAGTATCCTTCATGGGGGTCTCACATTTATGTGTCGCAGATAGAACCCCTGGTTTCAATACATTGCAGAGAGAACCTAGATCTTTTATACCTGTTGAACACACACCCACCCGCCCACCCCATGTAGCACAAGTACAAATATCACAGAGAGCTCTGCTGGGGTGTCACGAGGTCTAGGTACTAGTAAAAAAGAAGTTAATTTACGGGTAATAATAAGTGGTTAATATATATATTACCAAAAATGTCTCGGGACCCA